TCTCTCTCTCTCTCTCTCTCTCTCTCTCTCTCTCTCTCTCTCTCTCTCTCTTTCTCTGTGATAACTGGACAAACTGTTTCCTGTTGCCTTTATAATAAAAGTGATACTTGAAATGGCATCACTGTGCTAGTGCAGTGTTGGGGGCCGGAAGTCTGACATGGTTTCACTGGGTGACCTTGGGTCCTAGCAGGTGGTACTTTTTATGGGTTCTCAGGACAACCTGGTGGGAGGGGCTTTTGTTTGGGCTGTGTTGTTGTTTGGGTCTCTAACTCTTCAAGAACTGCCTATATTTCTTGGTTCATAGCCTCTCCTTCCTTCAAAGCCAGCAATAGCCAGTGGAGTCTTCCTCACTTAGGCCTATTATGACACTGCCTGCCTCCTTCAGGTAAAGACCTTTGCCGTCCATTGGCTCCACCTTACCGAGAATAGCCTCTATTTTAAAGGATCAGCAACCACAGCTTTTTGAATTACTTTGCTCCTCCTTAGCATGCAGTGCAGCACAGTCATGGGTTTGGGGAATTTGGATACAAATACCTTTGTTGGGCGTTCATTACTTTGTGTACTGTATGAAATCCAAAATTCTTAGAGACTAGAAAACAAATTTATGACTTAAAACTGCTCTCAATCTGGTCCTGTCACTACTCCCAGTATATAAAAAACTCACAATATGTCAATAACTCATAGTGTACCAGTAACTCACAGTATGTCAATAACTCATAGTGTACCAGTAACTCACAGTATGTCAATAACTCACAGTGTATCAATAACTCACAGTATGTCAATAACTCACAGTGTATCAATAACTCACAGTATGTCAATAACTCACAGTATATCAATAACTCACAATGTATCAATAACTCACAGTATATCAGTAACTCACAGTATGTCAGTAACTCACAGTATATCAATAACTCACAATATATCAATAACTCACAGCATGTCAATAACTCACAGTATACCAATAACTCACAATGCACCAATAACTCACAGTATGTCAATAACTCACAGTATATCAATAACTCACAGTATATCAATAACTCAGTATATAAATAATTCAGTATATAAATAACTCACAGTATATCAATATTTCAGAGCATATCAATAACTCACAGTGCACCAATAACTCACAGTGCACCAATAACTCACAGTATATCAATAACTCACAGTATATCAATAACTCACAGTGCACCAATAACTCACAGTATGTCAATAACTCACAGTGTATCAATAACTCACAGTATATCAATAACTCACAGTATATCAATAACTAATATAAAAAAACCTTCACATTTCTGCTTATTTTGTTGTCATTTCCCCATTTCCCACCACCTTTTCCCTGGGTGGCCTAGAACTTAATTGTAGACCAGGCTAGTATTCTAGTATTAAACACACACACACACACACATACACACACACACACACACATACACACACACACACACACACATACACACACACACACACACACACACACACACACACCACACTGATTGATAATCTGTCTGGCTATCCTTAACTCTTAACACTCAAATACTTAGTCATCCAACACATCTTTCTTACTCAGAAGGACATTACAAAATTCATTGTTAACTTCAAGTAAATCAGAAAGGCTGACTCGGAAGGTGTTAGGCAGGTCTGTTTCCAAACTGCACACTTGGATAAATAACTTAGGCTCCTGAGACTTAGTCTCTGCATCTGTGAAGTGGGAATAATAACGGCTTACTTGACAATCTGTCAGAATTTGTGTCAGCTTCCAAGAAAGTAAGCATCCATAATGTATGACGGGGTTATAGCACTTTGCATATGCCGATTGTTTCCTATGATTCATTTGTTGGCAAGAGAGACATCTGCAAGGTCTCTGTTGCCAACTGTCTGCTTGAGTGTGTGTGTATACTTTTGAGGTCAATGGATTCCTTCAACTCTCTGCCACTAGAAATAGCACCTCCTCTGCATAGTCTCCAGGCTCAGCTTCCAAAGACAGCATGCGGTGGCCCTTCTGGATCTGCACAGACGAACAGGCATGTTTGAAGAAACTGGTGAATGGAAATGCACAGGGAGACTGGTGCTTCTGCAGGAGCCCAGGCTGAGCATGGACTGGTGCTTAAGCCCCACTGGGTGGCTGTTTCCTGTAGCCCTAATAATAAATGCCCTAGCTTGAAATGCTACGTAGAGATAGTGCAGTGTTAGAGGTCAGAAGTCTGACAAGGTAGAGGCTCTTAGGAGAGAACCTGTGTGGTGGGAAAGCAGTGACTAATGAGTCTCTTCTAACTCACAAGAAACTTAAATTGTTTCTATATCTGAGGTGAATAAAAATAGTATCCCAGAAAACAACATGGCCACCCAACATGGCCCCAGTAAAAAGACCTATTTTCTAAAATCAGCGCCATCAGGGAAGGGTACGGATGTCTGATCCAGTTTTCTGATTATTTTAGAAGCTGATGATGGCAGCAGGTGCTACTTATTAGGGCTCTCTCTAAGGCCGGAGGTTCCACATCCTGCTTAATCTGTGAGCCTCACAGAACCCCAGCACCCACCCAGGAGCTCCTCTGTGCTTGTCAGATGTGCTCCACTGGGAGCACTCTAGGAAGCCCAGGAAGCTGCCCCCCCCCCCCCATCTAGTTCCTCTGCCAGCCATGGCAAGTATAAACTTCCTGAGGGAGCTAGGTCTAGATTTAAAGGGTTATTCCAGCGCTCAGTAGCCTAAGGCAGGAGAATCAGAGTTCAATGTCATTCTGGACTACATAGGTGAGACCCTTGCCTCTGTTGAAAAGCTAGCATTTACAAGTCACTGTATATTTTTTAATTACTATTATTCTCTATGTTTGATAATTCCTAGTTTTTACATGGGAAAAAAAGCTTCTTGAGTTCAAAATCTTCATCTTCTATTGCTTGTATTTCTGTGTTTCATAACCCGAGGTCAGCATAGCCACAAACCTGGGGCGGTCATGGCAAGATGCTGCCATCTCTCTTGCTCTTACCCTTCAGTATATTCTCCCCCATAACCCACCCCGCCCCGCCACCTTTACCATGTCAGCATATGCCCTCCCATCCCCCTCCGTTCTCACCACTTTGGTATATACTCCCTCACTCCTCTCTGTTTTGCTGTTTCAGCATGTGTGTGCACTCTAGCATGGCAATGCCTGCCTCTTTGTTTGTCTGAGTGTTTTCTCTGGCTTTCAGAGTCCTTATGGCTACCTGTGCAGTATTTTTGAGAAGCTCTCTGCAATGACTTGTAAGAGGCATATACAAACAATTCAACTCCCTTCTCCCATGCCTGGGAGAACTCTGCGCTGTGATCCATACCTACTCCAAGGGTGTCTTAGCAGCAATCACCCACAGAGTTTTAGAAGTGTATTTACTATCCTCACTTCTCATTTCCCACGCAGTACTTCCTGGTGTCCCCTGCACATGGATCCCTGCACATGTCAGAGGGTTTGGGGAAAAAACACAAACCAAGATATAGGTATCTTAGTGTAGAGGCAGTGTAAGACCAAAGACATGATGATAGTTTTAAAATACATAGATGGGGACTTCTAGATCTCCACACGCAATATGAATTGGAGAGTCAGTATGAACTGGAGAGTCATGCTGGCCTAGACCACAATGCTAGACTCAGGATTTATACCCTGTGACATTGGGACTTCTGGAGATTTCATAAGCAAAGGAATATCTTAGGAAAGGCCAACAATAGTGATTTATTCTCAGACACTTCATATGGATGAACATGGGTTTTAGGGTGCAGATAGAAGCTCCTGGGGAGCAAGAGACAGGTCAACAGTGCACCACAGTGTCCATCATAAGTTGCCAAGTGGCAGGTACTGGATTTAGTTAGAGCTGAACATAAGGGATGGGGGGTCCATGGGTGAGGGACAGGAAGAAAGTTGGAGAATGATGGTCACACAGGGTTGGGGGACAAGGCATGGCTGATGGTGTGTGAAGGCTGCATGGGGAAGAGGTGGCTAGGGTGACATGGAACCTCTGCTCTCTGTGCCAGGGTGACTGCTTCCTAAGTGGCCCTAGCATCACACACCATAAGATGGAAAGACTGACATCACAGACACAGCTTACAGGGGGATGAGGTGTGAGGACAATAATCACTCTCGTTTCAGCAAACGCTAGACTCACTCAGGAAAGTGAATAAAACCACAGATTTTTGCAACTCCCTGCTCAAGGGATTCCTATTCAGGCGCCTTGGGTGGTTGGGGCTCAGGAAGCAGACTCTACCACTGTAGCAAATGCTAGTCTGTGATTTTCCTGAGGAGTTGTGTGCAGTTGGCTGGCATGTATGCATTTCATAGGCTGGTTTCTGGACTGCAGAGCCTCAGGGCTATAATAAAGGTGCTTTCTCCACGACCATCTTGCTATACAAAGGGAGAGGTATCTTGCTTCTGTGCCTTTTATTAATATAACTGAAAAACAACTAACTGGCATATTGAAAAGCACTAAACAGCACCCAGAAAAAGGGAGAAACTGAAGAACTGAAGGAGACAAAAGGGGAGGCCAGGAAGCTCATCTTCAGAATGCATCTCAGAGCCACTCAAAAGGGCGGGTGCATCAAAATTCTCTCCCATCCCCAACCCCACCACCGGTGACAATGCTGACCTGACACTAGGAACATAAATGAAACACACAAGATTTCTCATTTGTTGCTGTTACAATTTGTATCCACAAATTTATAGCAGAGCAAGGACTTCTGGGACAGCTCATGCAAATATATGTAAATAACCATGCAGATACATGAGAAACAGCAAAAGCAAACGTGTCCTTCTCTCTTTCCTGTAAACCAATTCTGCCATCTTATTTTCAAATCAGCTCTGCAACAAAAACCACCAGAAGGGATGCACCATGCTCCATGATTCTAACGAAGTGATTAAAGAACAGACAGAACTGGATTGCGTTGACAGAGAGTGATTACTAAGACTGGCAGAGGAAATCGTCAGGGGCACAGGAAGCTTCCTAAGCGATGGAACGATTTGTATCTGGATCTCGCTACAGTGAAAAACTTGGTACCCGTTGTGTTGACTAGAAGCTGCTCTGGTTAACTCTCCTATAGCTTTTGAACAGTTGCTGCCTGAGTTTCTACTTTTTGTCTCTATGTTGTAGGGCATGTGCTACCTGTATCTGAAGCAGAGACAGTATCTCAGGGCATAATCAGAACTATGAGACTCAGAAGCTTCCAACTTGCGCAAATGTTGGTGAACAGAACACATCGGGAGAATGTCTCCTCTAGCCCCTTGACCAATCACTGAGCTGTCACATCTGGAGCCATGCCAGTCTGTGAGAACTGAAGTTGAACCTCACCTGTCAATAGCGATGGCCAGCAGAGCATTGGTGGAGACGTACAGGGAGACAGTACGAAGGTAGTTGACAGAGGCGCAGAGCACGTGACCGTGCTCCCAGGAAAGCTGCCGTACTACATAATAGTCCATCTCAAAGGGGCAGCAGACGATCGCCACCAGGAAGTCAGAGATGGCCAAGTTAGCGATGAGGAGGTTGGTAAGGTTGCGCAGCTTCTTGTAGCGGGCGAGGGCAGCGATGAAGACAAAGTTGCCAATGCCGCAGACTAGCATGATGCCTGCCAGCGCCACACCAATGACAATTTTGGCTGCATAGAAGGTCTGGGTCTTGGTTACATCCTCATTCTCATCCAGGGGAAGGTCATAATCACCATAACTGTAGTTTAAGGGGAGCAAGGAGACATGGTCTTGGGGTGCGTTCAAGTCTGGTGCAAAGCTAGTGTTTCTGTTCTGGTCTCCCATGTTGATGATGCAACAGATGGGCTGGTGTGTATCAGGGAGATATGCCGACGTGGAGTTCAGCACTTTAGCTGGGGTCAGTGTGCGCAGGTTCCTGTTGGAGTCCTTGGGGAGAACTGACACCACCCAGGATCTGGGGGGAGATACAACCAGTGGTCAGCAAACATCAGATCTGGTACTATTTCCCCAAGAGTCCCCTAGGTACAGTTCAACCAGACCCACCCAGGGCCAAGGAGTTGGGAAGCCATCCTCTTGCTGGCCACAGAATGAACCGGAATCTCCATAGAAACCCAAGAAGAATGTGTACTCTTGCCCTTCTTCCAGCAACAGTGCTGGTTTGACTGTTACTCTCAACAGCTTATCAGACAATGGCACAAGGCAGGGCTGGACAGGAGTGTATGGTGGTGGCTGGGAGTGATTTTCCTGCTACTGTCCTGTTCTTTGCTTAGGAGCTCTAGAAGCCAGACTCTTAAACTATGGGGCTTACATAACTGAAAGTGGCATTGAAAAAAAAAAGGTGACTGTAAATGGTTTCTGAGTGAACAAAAATCAATTCAAAAAGCAAAATTAGACACATAATGAATCCAGGCTGTGTCTAACAAGCTTCAACCAAGTTGTATCAGGACACTTCACTGTAGCTTTGTTTCTGAACACACATGTGTACTTTGCCCTGTGTGTTAGCATGCTTTGCAGTGCCCATGATCAGGGCTGGAAACACCTTGCCTCAAACTTGTGTGCTGTGAATTGCACACGTACAATTACTGTACACTCAAAGCCTTCTGCTCTCATAGAAACATAGCAGTTTAACTATGGAAAACAAAGACTACACAGTGGATGCTACACAGTGGATGCTATATATTGTTGCATTTAGCTACAAATTAGTGTATCCTTGGATTTATTGTGCTGAAAGGTTTTGATTTAAAAATTTCTATTTAAAGGACTGAGAGATGGTCAATGGTCACAGGGGTTTCTGTTCATATAGGAGGCTCTCTTGAATAAGACCAGAATTCAGAATTCCATGGCAGGCAGCAATCCTGACACTCTTAATGATACTGTTATGCTTGCAGAAGGAGCCTAGCATAACTGTCCTCTGAGAAGCTCCACCCAGCAGCTGACTGAAACAGATGCAGAGACCCATAGCCAAATGTTTGATAGAGCTTGGAGACTCTTATGGAAGAGTTGGGGGAAGGACTGAGGGCCCTGAAGGGGTTAAGAACTCCACAGGAAGACCAACAGAGTCAATTAACCTGGATCCTTGCTGGGTTTCAGAGAGAGAACCACCAATCAAAGAACATACAAGGGCTAGACCTCCCCCCACATATGTAGCAAATGTGCAGCTTGGTCTTCATGTGGGTCCCCAACAACTGGAACAGGGGCTGTCCCTAAAGCTGTTGTCTGTCTGTGTAATTTGTTCCTCTAACTGGGCTGTCCTGTTTGGTCTCAGTGGGAGAGGATGCGCCCAGCCCTAAAGAGACTTGGTGTATCAGGGTGGGGGGATAGTTCTCGTCTCAGAAAAGAGGAGGTGGGGGTAGGGGAGGGACTATGTGGAGGAGGAACTGGGAGGAGGGTGAGCAGTGATTGGGATGTAAAGTGAATAAATAAATTAATGGTGAAAAAAATTCTTTTTGAAGGACTGAGAGATGGCGTAGTGATCACAGGGCCTTGCCGTTCTTGTAAGAGCTCTCTTAAACAAGACCAGAGTTCAGAATCCAGTTCTCAGAACCAACATTGAGTTGCTCATAACTGCCTGTAATTCCAAGTTCTGGGGAGCTGATACCCTCTCTGACCTCAGGCAGTAGCTCCCCTCACCTTACACAAACATGCACACACACACACGTACACACAATGCACACAGATACACATGTGCACACATGTGCACACACATAAAATAAAAATTTAAAAATTGCTGTTGGAGCAGTTGACTGGAGTTTGATTAAAAAAAATCATTAAATGAAATTTGGCTTGGAATTAAGACAGAATTTCCAACAGTATTTGAAACGGCCCTGAAGCAAGCTTGCCATTTGTACCATGTGTTTCTATGAAGAGGCATTCCCAGCATTGATAATTATAAAATCAAAGTATCATTCAACTCTGGAAAATGTTCTAGATGCTGTATCAAATATTCAAAAAAGATTTCTTTATGTAAAAGTGTGCAATCCATCTCATTACTATGCAAATTTGTTTTCCTTGTTTATAAATGGTAAATTATATGCATATCAAAGAACTGCTTTTAAATACATTAATGATTTATTATTAGCAAGTGTTTGAATTATATTCCTACTTTATACACTTACAAACCCAGAGACATGTACGAAATTGTCTGGTGAATGAGGTCCTTCTGAATGGAAAAATTTAAGAAGCCTTGCTCTAGGATAAATCCTTTCTCCCCAGGTTGACGGCCATGACTCTGGATCAGCTCCTGGACCCTTTCCCTAGGTTCCCAGATTCCCAACCACAGCCAACCCCGACTAAGGAGGAACTGAGCCTTGTCATGGTCTGTGTCTTCTGAAGTGGTGGCTGCTGGAGACCAGATTGAATTGATAGCAGCTTCCTAAGATTGGATGGGGATGACCAGTCTAGGGGCTGTCCATTGCTCTAGAACTCCTTCATATTCTTGGTGTCTCGAGGTGTCCACAGGAGGATGAAGAAAGAGAGCCTCCAAAGTGTTAGCTCCCAGAAGGTAGCTGCTATGGGGCAAGAGAGAGGACTCCAACTTGACTTGGTCCGTCTCAATGAACGGCTTTCCTCTCCCACCTCAGCACACCTGCCAGTGCCGGAGTTACTGGTAAGGGTAGCAAGAAGCTATCAAACTGGATAGTGAGGTCTGCCCAGCCTTACGTGGGCCGGGAGAGAGCCCGGGTGACGAGAATCGCCACTTAGCCAGGAACAGCAGTCACGGGCGTTAGTGAAATCCCGACTTGCTACACACGAATCAGCTGCGCGCTCCACCCTACCTGGCCAGCGGGGTTCCAGTGGAGTCTGGATCCCAGTGTCCTCCGTCTGGGGCATCTATTGGTTTCCCAAAGATCGCCACCGGGGACAAATAAGCCGGAGTTCCAGCCGGCTTCTCAGCACCAGCCTGTAGACTGTGGGAAGAGGGAGCCCTTTTGCAGATCCCCGCGTCTCTCACTCGCCTCAGCGCTACACTGGCCGGGGATTAGATATCCAGTGGGGAATTCAAACCCAAGAAACAAAGCCGGGCACCGGAGCTGCCTGCAGGGGAGGGCGCAGGAACCGCTCACACACCCTCTCCCTTGTCCGCACGCCTTTCACTGAGTCCGCGGTTCCCGGGCTGTACCCCAGGCCCCTAGTCCCCAATCCCAGGGTCTGGAGGCAGGAGGGGATCTCCTGAAACAGACACGTCGTGCCCCAAGTCCTCCCGCGACCACCCGGCACTCACATGCCTTGGCGCTTCCAGGGGCGCACCCCCTGGTCGGTGGCGCTGCTGTAGGTGGGCGCTGCTCCGGCTCTGGGGACACTAGGTAGAGCTGGCTGAGGCTTGCGTACTTGGTGGGCGTGTGTCGCTCGGTCCTGCTCTCGTCTTCGTGCTTCTAAGGCACATCAGTCTTTCAGGAGTTGCTGCTTCGCTCTGCAGCTCATCCCACAGCCTGGGACCCGGCCCAGGTGTCCCGCCCCTCCCGGCGTCCGACTCCGCCCCTGGGACTCTTGCCTCCCAGCTCGGGTGATTTAGGGTCTCAGACTTCCGGCTGGTCCTTATGGAAGGGGGCTTTGTAAGTTCTTGAACCCGGTGAGACCTCAGCAGCTGGCCATGCTTGAGACAGAGCACTGTCCCCTGCAAACAGCTGTGGCTTCCACTGGTGTTCAGAGTTGGAGCGTGTGTGTGTGTGTGTGTGTGTGTGTGTGTGTGTGTGTGTGTGTGTGTCTACAAGTTCCCAGAACCAGCAAGTAAGGGGTGAAGCTTAGTCTTCCCTTAGAAGTGACGCAGAAGAGGCCCCCATACTACAATCCAGACCTTAAGAAACAAAGCTGGAAGTTATGGCGGTGGCATGGCTTGCCCTGTACAAAACCCGGATTCCGAAGTTCCGGTCCAAACTAGGATGATCTTTCCTGTAGTATCTTTGGCTATTCAAAAACAATCCGAGTCTAACTTCCAGTCTGTCTGAGGAGACCCAAGGGCCCCAGCTTTGTTTCTAGAGGAGTTATTTTATTTCTCACAGAAATGGAGGGATTTATAAAGTACCCCCACTAAAGCAGTAATTGTATGTTGGTCACGGAGAATGTTTTCTAGATGGGGCTGGGCCAATAAGCTGACAATTTAAACTTCCCATGTAGAGGACTTGGAAAGTATTTGGAATTGGGTTCTGCCTGTCCTAGCTTTATGTTAAACTAACCCACTGTCCTGCCTTCCTATCCGCTTCACTGGTACGATGAAGACAGGAGACCTGGCTTCTTTCCTTCCAGGGCAAGGCTGTGGTTTGGTTGGCGCTATGGCTGGAAAGTACAGCTTTCCAGACTGGAGGAAAGGCTTGGTTGTTTTGCTTTGGTTTCGTATAAGTAGACTGACGCTGTAGCCAGATAGCTGAACATACTTTTTAGGGCATTCTTTCAAAGGTGCATGCTTATCAACTTCAGCTATCTGCTTCAACCTTCTCTGCCTGTGTCTACCAGCTCACATATGGGACAAACAGACCCTTAGGGCCCTCTGGTGTACTCACAGCATTCTCCAAGGAAGGTTAGGTCAGGGTCTCCTTCACACAGATCCAGAAACCCATAGTTGTCATCCTAGCAATTTGATGTCTTGACCTCAGCATAATAGATTTGTCAGGGACCAGCAGGCAGTTCCCCAGGAGACAATGAGGACAGTTCCTTAGAGTATTGAAGTAGTAGTCTTAATTCAGGATCCTCAAGAAAACTGCTAAACAAATTTGAGTGTAGGTGGTTTATGGGAAGTGGGAAGAGTAGGGTGTACAGGAGGTGGTGTGGAGTGGGGAGAGCCAATGCATTGTGTGCAAGGGAGGCTGTGGCCTGTAGGAGCTCACATCTCCTGCAAAAGCATGGAGAACCCGCCTTGTGGTTGTCTGTGGCAGCACAGAGCAGCTAGAACACGCAACCATTGCCACAACCCCCCAGCACCTATGGATAGATTCTTTTTCCTTTTCCTTTTCCTTTTCCTTTTCCTTTTCCTTTCCCTTTCCCTTTCCCTTTCCCTTTCCCTTTCCCTTTCCCTTTCCCTTTCCCTTTCCCTTCCCTTCCTTTCCTTTTCTTTTCCTTTCCTTTCTTTTCTTTTCTGGACAGTTTTCTTGAGAGTGATAATTGCCCTTCCATCTGAGCCATGGAACTCCTCATGTGATGGAGAAAACCTAAGGCTGAAAAGGAGAGAGCTTCAAGACTTGGTGGGAGGTGTCAGCTGGCAAGAGTTACACCTGGTGGGGTCAGGTGCACAGGGGACTATGAGGCTGGTCATGATGAGGCTGGTCATGTGGGTGACAAGGCTACAAGCAGGGCAGGGGCACTTCCCTGGATGATGAGCCTTACCTGTGGCATGGATACTGGGATGAGCTGAAGCCACGGATCTTGGATGAGTAGGGGGTGAAAGGTTGGAGATTTCTCCAGTATACAGTTGGAGACAACTTTGTGTCCTAACTTTGGTGCATATATTTACAAGTCTGGAAGTGGAGATTCCTTAGTCAGATAAGATGTTAATAATTAATGAACACCCCCCCCCCATAGTCAGAGCAGATTCTCAAGCTGTCAGTAAAAATGATCTTTTCTCTGAAGTCTTTCTAGGTGGGAGAGGCTTAGCGGAACTCTATAAGGGGAAGAAAGGCAAAGAGAACGTGAAACACTGTGCAGGCTGAACTCAGCGTCTGTCCTTGAGTAGAGGTCTCAGTAGTTGGAATGGGTGTGGAGGAAACGGGTAGATGAAGAAGGATACTTTTTAATTTGGGGCCAGGAGGTTGTATGTTTAAATCTCCTTGAGAGACATAACAAAATTCAACAGTTGTAACGTTCTGAAAATATTATACCTGGATTGGTCAGTCCCCCTTAAATTTTCTTTTTTACTGTAACAACCCCAGTCTGGGTACTTTACAAACAAAAGAGTACAGATTTGGAGGTTTAAGGGCATTATGCCAGCGTTAGCTCTTGGCACATATTTTCATGTCATGATGGGAGCTCTTGCGAGAAAGGAGTCACATGACAAGACATAAGTGACCTAAGATCTCACAACAGGCTCTACCTCTTAAAGGTCCCATCACCTCTTATCACCACAGAGTGAATTTCAAACTCGAGAAGTCCTAGGAGATGAAACCATAGCAACCCCCATGCCACACACACACCCCACCACAAAGTGTGTTTCCTGGAAGAGATACCATTATTATACAGGACATTGGAGTGGGTTAACGCCGGCACAGAATAACATCTTTCAAAGATATCTGGCTTCTAAAGGGCAACATTGAATTGTTGGTGAGCCTGAGATTGTCATTATTGAACTCCATTAAGTCACTCCTTCCTACCACCACAGTACTTGAATATTGGTCAGTACGCGCAGAGGAGAAAAAGCATAGGGTCTGTCCTAGTTTATTCTGTTTCTGTGATAGAACACTCTGATCAAAAGCAAACTGGGTAGGAGAGGTTTTTTTTTTTTTGTTTTTGTTTTTGTTTTTGTTTTTGTTTTTTTTTTGTTTTTCGAGACAGGGTTTCTCTGTGTAGCCCTGGCTGTCTCACTCTGTAGACCAGGCTGGCCTCGAACTCAGAAATCCGCCTGTCTCTGCCTCCCAAGTGCAGGGATTAAAGGCATGCGCCACCACCGCCCGGCGGGTAGGAGAGGTTTAATTTGGCGGATGTCCCCTAGTTACAGTTCATCTTTGAGAGAAGTTAGAGCAGGAACTCTAGGCTTGAAGCAGAAACCACAGGGAACACTGCTTCCTGGCTCACCCACAGGCTTCCGCTCCCTCAGCTTGCTGTCTTGTGCAGTCTAGGTCCACCTTCCTAAGGATGGTGCCACCCACAGTGGGCCGGGCCCTCCCACAGTAAGACAATTTCTCAGAGACACAGCCATAGGCCAATACCTTCTTTTAAGTTACTTTTCATCTGGAAAGTGATTCTTTTCCTGAATAAGATTTTCCACCACCACATCCCCTGAAAACAATGGACGGCAGAGGTAAAGATCCCACCACAAAGTTACTGGTTATGAGGAATTGGGACACACAGCTTGATTGTGGTACCAATGTCCTTATGAAGTGTCATACTGGAGGACAGTTTCTCAATCAATAGCAAACAACACAATTCAAAAATCAAAGCACATAAAATGACATGTAAAGTAGCCTTCTTCCCCATTCACCTGGTGCACCCCTGTTTTTCCTGGGGGTATCTTTACATTTTTCTAATACATATATGACTTTTTCATCTTTCTACTATAATATAGTCTATTGTGGGGATACACAGTTGCTATCTTTTAAAACCCAGGTTGCTGGATATGTTGGCTTAATAGTTTCAAGATATCTGTAAAATTACAAAGTAAGTCATTTCCAATTTTTCCTTCTTAGAGTGTTGTAGTCCTGAATGGTGTATGTATTCATCAGTTCATCAGTGAATGAGTACACAGAGCAACTTTTGGTGCACGTGCAAGGATATTTGTATGACAAATTCCCAGAAATGGTATTGCTGAGTCAAAGCATGAAAGCATTTGCACAAGGCTTTGGGGTGGGTCCTGTCACAAAGGGTTCCATGGGGCTCCACTAAGCTGTCTGTTGGGCAGAAGTCAAGGCCACACATGAGACTGATGAACACATGTTTGTTGAGATAGGGGAAGCAATATTCCAGAGCAAGATTTCTCAGCAATGCTTTCTGCCCTCAGTCCTGTAGACACGGTGTCCCTTCAGTCTTTCAAAGTATGGGAGGGAGTGGGCTCTGTTCTTAAAAAAACAAATCCCTTCCATCATTTTTCTATGCCTGTGTGTCTCTTGTGGAATAGTTAGAAATCAAATTAAGACTGTGCCGTTGTTATTGACACATTTGTAAGGCTGTTGAAATTAAATGTCATTTGGCTCTGTGAATTACTGTAGTTAGGCAGATAGGGGCTCCTCAGCGGACGTTCACGGTGTTTCAGCTTCTGCCTTTCACCCAACCCACCTGCTTTTCCAGGGTTCTGTAGAACGGCCGTGTAAGACACTGGTGGGCAGGCTTGACTAAGTAGAACTCAAGGCTGCCTCTCTGGCTTCATCTGCTCTGAGGGCAGTACCAAGGGACGGGGGGAGAATGAAGAGTGTCAGATTGTATGGTCACTAGCGGTACTTCCTATCTGTGGACCAAAGCCTGAGAGACTTTTTGGTCAGAATTTGGCATTGCTATTAAAACTGTTTCAGCAGTTTTGCGGTCCCCAGAGGAAGCAGAAGTAGTAGGAGAGGTGGGATGAGTGGAATCCTCAAAGGATGGAGCTGGTCACCAGGCTCAAAGCTAAATTCCAGCTAGGTGCACACATGCTCCTGTGCATACACCTGTAATCCCAGCACTATGGGAGGTTGAGGTCAGACTATCAGTAGTTCAAGTCCAGCCCAGAACAC